CGAAGCTGGACCAAACTCATGAGCTTTTGGCCATTGTTAATGCCAAAGTCAATCAGCTCTTCCATCTCTGCGCTCTCAATTTCACTGCTACTGGCAGCATCATGCCCCTCCACGAGGATGCTGCTGAGCATGCCCGTGAAAAATCTGCCAATGTCCTTCTCAACTGTGAGCGCTCTGTGCGTAACCGTCCTATTCTTCGTCCTTCGGTGTCTGAGCCCTCTATCATTACAGTGGAGGAGTATGGGGTGGTTAAGAAATACAGAGAAGCCGAAGAGCAACGGAGGCTGGATGAGATGATGAGGGACAAGACCATGAGAGAAGCTCACAGGCGCTTCGTAAACAGGACTCAGGCTGATGTTCGTCATAGGCAAAGCCAAAAATGATTTGATGCTTCTCTCAAGGCCTTGACATATGTTGTTTCGCTGGACTCTTTTATTTTGAACATTTCATCTGTTATTTTGGTCTGTAATCTTTTAAACAATTTTTAACTTCCTGCCTGTGTTCTAAACATTGTTATGGTGTAATCTTTTATTTTAACATGTGATATGTTATGCTGAACCGTTTCTATTTGCAGGTTGTAATCCTTTAAAATGACATTGTTATGGTGTTTTATATGTATGATGGGCTATATTTTTTTTGTGTATGTTTGTTATGTATGTATATTCTGTGCAGGCTGAGAACTTGAGAACTCAGTTCAACCCCCCCCCCCCTTATTGATCCTTCAATGTGTGATCAATTACCATAGTATACGTGTCTTGTCTCAAGTCCTAGAGATTATGTCTGCAAAGATTGCGAATTGAACCTGGTCAAATAATTGATGTTAAAGCATTGTAATTTTGTCCGTTGCTATTATTGTTAAAGGGAACTATTTATTTTTTTATGTTCAGGTAAATGAAGAACTTCTTACAACTTAGTTCATCTAGTTCAAAAAATTTAAGGCAGTTTTGTCCCTCATTAGTACAAAAATTGAAGGCAAGCATTAGTACAAATTGTAATTTTGTCCCTCATCATTTCATCTATTTCTTACAACTATTTCAAATGTTGGAGGTTGGCAGTTGCAATTCATGACTTTAAACCAGTCACCTCTTCCATTTCCATTGCTTCAAGATGAAACCCTGTCACATGAAGCCATTGACTGTGCAGAAAAATATAAGTTAAACCAAAACAAGAGCGTGAAATGGACAGGGGGAGTGCAAGCAAGGAAAGTGTATAAGTGGGGGAAATGTCGCCAAATAGGAGGGAAACACAATTAGTGGGGCAATGCAATAATTTCAGCCTCCGAACCTTTCAAACGCTGTCACCAAATACCTGGTGATAAAGATAGTTTAATGAAGTGTATCATTCGTGAAAGTCAAAACCTGGAGTGTACTATTGATAATTTCCCAAATAATAATTAACTGACATGTTCTCATCAATGTATCATCTACTTCGTACATTTTACATTTTCATTAAGTGCTTGTCTCGAAAAATCTATAATCTTACCGTTGAATGAAATTAAATGAAATTTGGAAAATTCACCTAATCTAACAAAAATTCGGTCAAGTAGTCTGCTTGAGTTGGCTTCGGTTTTGTCTCATTAAGTGCTTGTCTCATTTTTATTTATGTCAATTGCATTACCAACACTACAGATACGATTTTAAAATGGGTGTGCGACATATTTAAAATTATGGGTATGAACTATGGGTATATTATGTTTGAAAATATGGGTAGGTATGAAAAAGTTTTGGCTTAATCAATTGGGAAATGTTTGTGACAATGACAATACAATGACAGGGATAAGGACAAAGTACTGGAGGACGTACTATTTGACAATGACAATACAATGACAAGGGCACACTTCCTAAAAAGCTGTTACCAAAATTTATTTTTTACCCTACTTCCCAGTGCCAACCTTTATTTTTTGGTTTTGTAAACGTTCCTGAAGTCCGACCGTACTGCTTCCTTTCTCATTTCCTCTGTTGTCCGGATGTGAAGCTATTACCGGAAAAAATAAAAAAAAATGTTTCAACCTAACAATGAAGCACCATGTACCCACCACCCTTATGTTCCTGGGCAATCTATGCCCCCTTCAATTCATAATCCTTCATTGACGTACCCTCCTCAGTTTCAATCTGTCTACTCTAACCCTTCTGCCTTTTTTGAACCGAGGCAATATCCATCAAACACTCCGGGTTTTGTTCGTGGGCAGTATCCATCGAATACTCCGCGTTTTGGTGCTGGGCAATATCCATCAAATACTCCGCGTTTTGGTGCTTGGCAATATCCATCAAATACTCCGGGTTTTGGTGCACCACAACCTGTTTATTCGGACCCTCGTCATTGTCAATGTCTCTACTCTAACCCTTCCGTCTCTCTTCCTCCGGGTTTTGCTCCTGGGCAATATCCCTCAAATACTCCGGCTTATGGAGCACAACCAGTTTATTCGGACCTGGGTGGTACTTCAGCAAATTGGGTTGTCAGACAACCGGCCCCTGCTACGTATTATGTGGTATGTTTTCGCTTTGTCTGGAAAATGGATAGTTGTTGAAAGTTTGTTTGTTGTTTCTAATTTCGTTTATGGTTTATGATTGAGTTTATGGTTTATAATTGAGCTTATGCTTTATGGTTTGTTGTTGAAAGCATGAACATGTGTACTCAACTATGGGTACTATGATTGGGAAACCAACCAAATCATGATTTCATCATACCTTTGAAGTTTTAAATATTAAAGCAAATTTTTTAGGGGGTGATGAATTGCTTATTTTCAAGGGGGGTTGGTGTTGGATTGAATTAAATGAGGTTGTGTTGAGATTGGCGGTCAACTTCATTTGGTCGAAATTGAAAATTTTTATATATCCGGGGAAATTAGTTGAATATGTTTACTAAGATCAGGGATTAAGTCAAATTAAATTCAAGCTTGTATTTAGGAGAGGTAAGGTTGAATCGTTCATGGATTGATGTTTACAGTGTTTGGTTGTTACAATTACAAATGATCTTGTTTCGATAAGTTTACTTGAATTAATGATTTAACAATTATGCAACTATGTTGTTGCATACAATTAAAAAAATTTCAACATTTCCTTGTACTCAATTTCAACAATTCCTTCTGTTGTTATTATTAATAGTGATACTTATGCAGATTCTTATTTTTATAATTCGATTATAATCTTATTTGTTGTTTAGATTATGCGACATTAATCTGATCCAATCTTTGCACATTACTGTTTGTGAAATTCGAAGTTCTGTCTTTTGTTTCTTTCTAATCTAATTTCACCAATTTTCGGTAAACGCTGATAATCGGATTGTACAGCCCAACCCTCCAGAGATAACAAAAACCGAAGGACCGTGGTGTGATGTTTGTCAAATCACCTGTACGAGCACTGACTGTCTTAATACGCACGTAGTGGGAAAGAAACACCAGAAGAGCTTACGAAAGCTCCAGTAGAACTCCATTAATACTGTCTCAACTGTTGCTTCATTGCCCCACACAGCTGCTGCTAACACGCAACTTGAAGTGCGTACCGGGGAAACCAGTGCACAACACAACCTTCCAAAGCAAAGAACAGAAGGAGAACCGTGGTGTGATCTTTGTAAAATCAGCTGCACAAGCGACAATGGTCTTCAGACACATTTGGTGGGAAAGAAACACCAGAAGAACTTACGTACGCAGGAGTCTCTGTAGTTGTCTGTTTTAAAAACATGGACATTAGGATGTAATAGTTTAATGATCGATTCTGCTGCATAATGTGAATGACTTAAACATATGATTTTATTATCCTAACCCCCTCGGTTGGTAACCATAAAATGAATTAGATTTTTTGAAAAGTTTGTACCGCATATGTTATGGTCATTTTATAAAAACCGTGCAATATCAAGTACAAGTAGCGTTTCATACGGAGTGTACAAAATTCTGATGCACAGGCAGTTAATGATGCATTGCTTCAGTTATGATGCATTAAAACTGTGGTTTAAAATTGTGACATTTCAAAAATGTGCCTTTTCAAAAATGTGCAGTTATTGTGTTTATTGTGTTTTCTTTTATGTGCAGTTAATGTGCAGTTAATGTGCAGTTATGATGTGCAGTTAATGTGGAGTTATGATGCATTGCTTCGTTTATTGTGTTTATTTATAAACCGTCCTTCAGTTTTCTTTTCAGTTCTCCATGTTCTTTGAAATATTTTGTGCTTTCTCCAACTTCTTTTAAATCTTTTCCTCTTCCTACGAGCACCGAAACCATGGCTAACAAAGAAATGCGACAGTTGAAAGCGGATCTTGAAGTGTTGTACGTTGAACTGGCTGAAATAAGTGCGCAGCAGAAGGCTAAGGGAGAAGAATTGGGTGAAATCCGTGCGCAGGAGAAGGCTTAGGGAGAAGAATTGGGTGAAATCCGTGCGCAGAGGAAGGTTAAGATAGAAGAATTGGCTAAGATTAGAGCAGCACATACCGCCAAGCTACAAGAAGCGAGGGTTTTGTCAGCCCAGTTGCACCGGCTTCGAGACCAGCGCATTGCAGCGCTTTATGGGCAAGTTGATGAAATCCGTACAAGGGGTTTGGCAGGTTATGGCGGAGATGGGCCGACTGTTGAATATGTGGAACCTGTTGACAGGATTATTGAACAGGACAGGGGTGAAAACGTGGCTAGGAATGTTGGTGTACGAGGAGGTCATGTAGAACAGAAGGATGATGGTGGTGTTGGCGGTGTTGGAGGAGGTCCTGTGGAACAGAATGAGGATGATGATGAGATGGAATGCATAATTCAATATAAGAATCACCATAGATCTGCTCTGGTATTGTTTTTCACTTGCGTATTCGTGTGTTTGTCTTTCTATTCGTGTGTTAATGTGTGTGATTTGATGTTGTGTTGTTTTCCTTGTGCGTAGCCTCTTCCTAAACATTGGAAGTCTTTTGCTTCTGTTTTTTCGGATCCTGTTCGTGTTGAACGTGGTCCCGGAGGGCCAGCGTGGAATGTGGAATTGCTCGGTGCTAAAACTAGTGACACTCGTGATCTATTCATGTATTCTAGTTGGGAGAACTTTGTGGTTGACAATGATGTCCAGGATGGTGATATTCTGAGTGTGCGTTATGTTGGTCAAGGAGTTTTCCATATTCTGATAACTAGGATCCGAAATGGATGCTATTAAATTCTTGTAATTCTGTAAAATTGGAACCTAAAATCATTTTTAGTTATGTATTTGGTGCGTTCCATTATCCCTCGCGAACGAATTCGAGAGAACTTTTGAATTGCGCTTCTTTCTTTGTATCTTACTTACTTACTTTCGAATATTCTTTCTTGTATCTTCTTTCCTGACGAGGAAGGCGTCTCTCCTCTCCTAAAATTGGATTATTATTGTACACTTTGTGGGTTGAAAGTTATAATCTGCTTTATTTACAATTTTTGTAAGTCTCCTAAAATTTAAGTTTTTTAAGTTTTGAACTGAATCTCAAAGCCTTGAATTCCGCCTTAGGTTTTGAAGCTGAATTCAAGACCTTGAGATTCATATTGAACAAAGACATTGACAACTTTGCTTCGTTTATAGTTTAAACGAGTTGTCGAGTCTCATTTTACTTATTTAAATCCCACATAGTATTTTGTCAATTGAAAATAATATTAATCTGAATAGTATTCAACGAAACTGAAAATAAGAATATCCAAATACAAATAATATCCAAATCATTAGAATACAAATAGAAATACAAATAAGAATATCCGAATTATTCATCTGTTAGCTCAGGAATTCGGCCCCTCCTTTGCCTAGCCTTGAAGTTAAACCCAGGCACTGGTGGTTAATCATGCATCTGCATCCAAATAAAGTTCAATAAAGTTCACCGTATGCAACTACTTTAAGATCAGAGAACACAGGTGAAACAACTACTTTAAGATCAAACCTCACATTATTCACTCCAGCTTGTAGGGGTCCAACACTATCCCTTGCATCCCTTGGGTGGTGTTCACCATAAGCAACATCCAATAGCTTGAACCACAGAAAGACATACAAATGGAATAAGGTTACTCTAAACCATACTATGCAATATAATAAAAACAATACAAAAGTTGAAACAAATACAAAAGTGCTTACCCCTAGTTTCCCGTAGTCGTCGGACAGCAATTTGTCTGATTTTGCTGCCTTCCCAATCTGCTGCATAGTCCACACTTTAATTCCTGGAAAAACATCCCATTCAATAGGATCCCTATCCAACCGATCCAAGTAAAATATCTGCCAAATTGTAAAAGAAAAAGAAGCAATTACTAAAACAAAACGCACAACGAAAAACAAAACAAGCAAGAGTACACTGAAACACTTACTACGGCAAATATTGCACACCCGCCGCATCCACTGGCAAACCCGTTAGCATGGAAACGTCGAGCAAACTTTTGAAGGCTCTCCAGCAACTTCGACAACACTAAAGAACACCAATCAAACTCAGTTGCCTCCATAGCACAACTTACTGCAGGTAGTAGGTCAGACGCAAGCCGGGGGATCTGCGTGGGACACAACACCATCTCCAAAGAAATTATCAAGAACAACGTCTTGAATTCCTCTTCCTCTCCAGCATCAAAGTACCCCTCCAACCGATTCATCATATCTGAACTTAATGGTATGCCTACAGACGTGTATACCTGACCAGATTGTCCAACAGACTTCTTGGACTCCCACGATTTACCATACTTTAAAAAAATTCTCTGAACCTTTTCATGATCACGTGCGGTCATGGTTTTAGTACAAGGAACAAACCTAGGACCCATTGGTATCCCTAGTACCCACCGAACCTGATTCTTTAAAAACCTAAACTCAACACCGTTGGTACTTCTAAGTATTTTACTGATTGGATCCATCCGTGTCATCACCCAGTATGCCAATTGTCTTGGTAAATGCATATCTAAAGCAAGATGTAAAAGACTACCAAATCCCATCTCACAAACCCAACGTCTTCTCCTGTCATCAAATTTCTGACATATGCGCCCAAATGACTCAATGCGGCAACTCATGTTAGGAGGCTGCCAATGAAGTTACATTAATTAAGTTCATATCCCACACCAAATGACCACTGAATCAACAAGCAAACTTACCCGGCTTCTGGCCTTTGAATGTTCAGCCATCACCTCCGCTCTACCTTTGACAGCCCCTCCATAACTTAATCCGTCATCCTAAGCAGCACACACCAGTAACTTAATTCATGCATAAACCTTAATCATGCAAAAACACCAAACACTAAATTCACACGCACCGAACAGAATTCCATGCTATAGTACCTTAAACAATTCCGGGTACAAATGCATGGTCTTCTGCCGACATACCTTACTCTTCATACTGAGCCCATACCCCTCTTCATTATCCTCATCCTTCGTTACCAAAATATAAAACCATAATTCAAAACATAATCACATCCCAGCCTCACCATTGTATCTAAAAAATCTAAACAATATATCTATAAAAAACCAAAAACCCTCACCATTGTACGTTTACGCTTACCATTCCCCTCTGACATTTTCGTAATCCTGTCAAATACATCAAATACGGTGTGTTAATTACATTACACACAATACTCAATCTAATCTAATCTACCCACAACCAATCATAACAAATCGAAACTCGATACGATTTCACACCATCACACAATATCACATATATCACATATATAGAACGAATAATGAGCACCAATGAATCAATAATTCACCTCAATTCCATCAAATGAACATTTCAAATGCAAAATTCACCTCATTCCATGAACATTTCAAATGCAAAATTCACCTCATTCCATCAAATGAACATTTCAGAGCAGCAAAACGCATCTAATTCCACTATTTAATTCCAGATAATATAATAAATTATAACAATTAACGACGAAGTAATCCGAACTGCCTTGAAATAATCTGCAAATATTTCTGTCAATGAAATAATTCTGCAAATAATGTCAATTGAAATAATCCGAACCCTAAATAAATCTGAACTGCCTCGCCGAAATAATTTTGTCAATTGAAACAATCGACGTACTGAACATCGACCCTCAACTCTATAACATTCGGAAAAACAACAAGCCAAGTTCGAATTGAGAAAAAAAAAGAACCCAAGTTTGAAATGAACATGAATCAGAAAGAACCTGGATAAACCAAGAGTTCGAGTTCGGACCTCTTCGAGTTGAGTTGAGTTTCGCCCAGCTCTTCAACTTGAGATTCCAAGAAGTCGAATTGAAAAACCGGAATCCTTGCCTTCTTCGACTTGAGTTTCGCCCAGATTCGACTCTTCAGGAATACCCAATAACCGATGAAGCTAACGGGTCACTGTGAAAACTCCATAAACACAGCTGGGCAAACCAAGTAAAACACGTCAGAATAATGACGCCACATCACACATACACCAAATGACTTATATGAGGTGTAATGTCGGTTATACCCCCAACATGAGAAATGGGGGCCTCCTCATATGGAAACGTGTAATTTAGTTCACTTGGTATAAATTCTGTCAACTAGCTTAGATAGGATGCATTCACGATGTTTAAAGATAGGAGAAATCAGAAAATTGTTGTCAGGGACAATTAATAATCCATAGAAAAGGTACTATATTATTTTACATTTTTTGTGTAAAAAGAGCACTAAAACGCAAATAGTGTAGAAAGATTTGATTTTAATTCAATCAATTTAGTTGACATCAACTATTATCTTGTCAAAAAAAAATATGACATCAACTATTAGACTTTGATTTAACCGACATTGAATATATATTGACGTACATAAAGGCTTAATATATATTACTCCCTCCGTTTTATAATGTTAGTCCCATATGGAATCAATTACATAAAATAAGAAAAGAAAAATATTTGGAATCTAACATTCAAGTACAAAGTAATTCATAATTGATTTACCTTATTTAAGTTTTTTTTTTTTTTTTTTTTTTTTTTTTTTTTTTTTTTTTTTTGAGAAACCATAAGTCATAATTGCATAATTTAAGGTAGAGATTTCCTTACTTAGAGTCATGTCATCAATCTACAACCAATTAATTCCAAAAAATTTAAGTTAAAAATGGAACATATTCTACATGGATAGATCTTTTTAAAACGCCCAAAATAATATATGGGACTATATTATAAAACGGAGGGAGTACCTCCTTTTGGTTTGCAATGTGTGTGTACTTTGTTTTTGAGTTGCAAAATTACTTAATTGAGGTTTAGAGGGTAATTTTAGTCCATTATGTTCAAATTTGAGGTCGAAGATAGAAAAATAAAAGGAGAAAAAAATGCTTCAATCGATTTCCAATCACACATACCAAGTAATTAACTCGCTCTTAATTAAATTGGGGCGTTTCTACTAATTTAATGCCAATTTCAAGTCCAAATTTGATCCAAATGGACCAAAATTACCCCAAAAACATAATCGAGCAATTTTTGAGCACGAAACAAACATCAAATCGTGGAATTTGCTTGCACGCAAACTGAGGGGTTTTTGATTTTTTTGCAATTTCAATCTCAAATCTGATCTTGAAGGACCAAAATGATCATAAAAGGAATCATAAAAACCATGACCTAACATTACATACTTTACAGGTCTATATAATTAGGATCATATTATACATGATAGTTAAGTTGGGACGAACACTGCACCAACTCAATTAACTCATGAGAATAATCAAACCATAACTTTTGTTCATTCCCAATCTATTTATTTCATATAAGTACACCCAAATATATATGAGTATATATTAAACCTTTCAACGATTTCATGCACAACGTATCATTTAGTTACGCTTTTCCTCAACAACCTTAGCCATCTTTTGTCTCGGGGGTGGGTTTGGATAACCTCCTCCTGGATTACCAAAACCTCCTGGATAACCTCCTGGATTACCATAACCTCCTGGGTTACCATATCCTCCTGGATTATCATAACCTCCTCCTGCATACGACTGCTTTGACTCCTGCACGGACTCTGCAAAAACGAAATGAACACACGAACTCACGATCTAAATATCACCAATAGCACAATATCATTACAAGGTTTATTTATTTGTACATAAAAATGATAAATATTGCTACTTAAATTAGTTATGTTATTTCGTTAAATATCAAAAACATATGTATAGCACCGTCATTTTTGTACTTCGTATTTAGATTTGCTCATTCTTAAATTTTAAAATGAGCAAATGAAATAATAAAACAGTACGAGCAAAATTTGCAGCATTCTTTATTCAACGATAAAAAAATGGATAAATAAAAAAATATTGATGATACTCTTTTTATACCAAAATTAATAATAAAAAAAAATATTTTATAATTTAAAGAAAAAAAAGTCAATCGTGAAATATATAATCATTAAAATATTATAATAGTTATATTTCAAACGATCAATATAAAATTTTTAATAGAGAGCATGACAGCAAAACTAACTCAATAAAATTTTAGGAAAAAGAGGTCATAAATAATGGGAAGGATTTATAAGAAACTAACGAGTTTGTCTAGTCGACTGAGGGTCAGCAATCTCACGAGCTGAGACCTCATAGGAACTGATAAGAAGTGCAGCGAAGAGAATAACAACAAGAAAAGCTTTTGTGTTTGCCATATTTTGTAGTCTCCAATTAATATTTTTTTTTGATGGGATATGAAAGAATGGCAGGAGTTGTACATGTATTTATAGACGGTTGTACTAGGTACCCGGACCACGAAGAACCCTAAAAGACTTATAATAATATTCCCTCAGTTTTGTATTAGTGAACATTATTGGTCAACAGTAATACAAAAATAAATAGAGTTGGCAAAAGTTGACACGACACGAACCGGACATGAAAAAATTGGATTAGCATTAAGAATTTATGATTCGAATTAAACATGTCAACAAGACACGATACGTGTAATTAAACAAGTCGAATTAGTGTTTAGATTTCCTACACGAATCAACCCGCTTACGAAAAATAATTAAAACTTACGGATTTTATGATAAATGTTTTGTTTGGGGCTAACATTTTACTTATAACATGACAACACGACACGAACCGGATACAAAAAAAAGTGGGTTAGTGTCAAGCAATTATGACACGATTAGTTAAACAGGACAACATAAGACACATCACGTTTATTAAACGGGTTGAGTTAGTGTTGTGTTCCTCTAACTCGTTTAACTTCGAACACGAACATGAGAATGACCAACACACATGGTTGCCAGCTCTAGTACAAAGTATGTACAAATTATGTATATATAAATTGATCATATACTCCCTCTATTTTTAACTACTTGCTCTACTTCTCCATGCGCAGAGTTTACGAGAAATTGGAGAAAGTAATAAAATATAGAGGTAGTAGGGTTAGTGGAAGGTAAGTTGGAGGAGAGAGAATCTAAAGGTAATAAAATGAAATACTATTGGGTCCCACTAGTTGAGAAAAATAAATTAAATATTATAAGACAAATTCAAATAAGGAAATGGAGCAAGTATTTAAAAACGGCCGAAAATGAAAAGTAGAGCAAGTATTTAAAAATGGAAGGAGTATTAATTTGACAGCTCGTAGAAGATAGAGGGAGTGCAAAATAGCTTTAAATATGATGAAAAAATAAAGAATGACAAATCATCATGCATGTGATTCATGTCTATGTATGTATTGGGTGAAGGGAGTACAATCCCTACAAACACATACTGTAGACACATAATTATGTCACCTCAAAAATACCCAATGGTTAATTAAATAAAACTCATCATTTTGGTTTGAATTAAAAGATGGACCGATCAACTCAAACCCAATTGAAATATTTACTTATAATATCATCCAATGGTCCTAATACCCACTTAACTGACCTAATATATAAACATAATAGATTCAACCTAAACTATCTTGAATTGACTCTAAATTAGCTTACATAAACAAACTTAAGGTCCAGTATAAGCTCAATCAGCGTGACACGTTAAAAAGTATATAAAATTGAGACACCTAACCTAATGCGGACACCAGCCAGCCTTTGTACAGCAACATCGCATTGCACCATTGGCCAATCAACGTAGGATGCTGGTTGCTGGTGTGAATGTGTGATACACTAGTCTAACTTAATGATGCAACCTATTTTTCGTTTTTTCACATATAAATTGGACATGTTTTCCCTCTATTTCAAGACACTGAAAAGATAAACCCAAAATCGTTTACACCGGTAATGTTTCGGGGTTTTTTGATATTCTTCGGGAGAGTTACAATTCCAAGACTGACCTTTGGACGCCTGTACCTGCAAAACAACGGAGACTCTGGTGGGTGGGAGCTCTGCCTCCGACGATCAAGTTAAAACGTGTATGGGGAGTAAAGTGCGAAAAGTAAAAGGTCTCTCTTGGAAATCAAGGGAGTATCTGCAATGTGAAATTGCTCAGTTCGAGGTGTCAGGTGTCTGACTTTCTCTAATTGTGAGTTGATGTGAATTAACTATTTCTGAATAGATGTTCCTAAGAGGGAAACATCTCCCTTTTATAGTGTGTTGGAAAACGTGCCCAGTACTAGGTTTTAGTAAACCTAGGCCTGACTAGGCTTTGCCTAGGAATTTGGGCCGTAGAAGGCCATTTTCTGATGGGCTATCTGTCTGCCACGTGTCGTGGCCTGATTGGTCCACCTTGGACCTTTCACAAGGTGACACGTGGCGGACTCTGGTTGGTCCACTTGGATAACACGTGGAAGGATGTGAGTAGTCCACGTTGCGGGGAAAAATCCCCTAATCATTTGCCCCTCACAGGGGTGACATGGCATGTCACGTGGCGTCTGTGACAGATGTCACACCATGATTGGCTAACTGTTATCACCGTTTTTTTGTTTTTTTTTTTTTTTTTTTTTACTGTCTCTTGGAATTCACCACCTATAAATAAGGGGTGTCCAAATCATTTGGACATTCTAGAAACTTTTCAGACAGAACTTTGGACGCTTGCTCTAACACTTTAGACGGCTGCCGCTTGTATACAGACCGCCTGTTCTTAGACCGCCTACTTCCTCAGCCGCCAAGTTTTTCAAAAGTTTAGACTTCTTCTCAAAGGTAAACGCTTATTCTCTTGTACTTTTCTCTTTGCCTTTTTTTTTCCAAAAATGGTAGCCCAAAAGCACGCGGCACGACGTAGGTTAGTGATCAGCCGGTCACCGGGGATGGCTGAATCTAGAACTAGGAGTGCTGGCTGCCCCTTGCTGGACCACCCTTTGCGAACTGCCCAGAGTCCAACTGTCTATGTGTCTGTGCAGGACACCATGGCAGAACAAAAAGATCTACAAGAGTGATAAACTCAGACGACTCCTCACTTTATGTGCCCATTAGCGAGATCTCGGACGTGCCACCAGGCGTCCCTAGCACCCCAAGTGATTCTATTTTAGCAAAATCAGAGGAGGTACAGAATGACCCTCCTATCATTGATCTATCTGGGCAGGCGGCTGCTTCCCCGAGAGCTCAAGCGATGACTCTGAGCCTAGCACCTCGAGTCGGCATTCTGGCGACTTAGAGGAGAGGCACTCTCAGCTACATATTGCGAAAGAAAGCCATGAGGTGGAGAAAGGAGAGAAATGGGCATAGTCGGCTGCTACCCATAGAGAAATGTATACCCCCTACTTTTGCCATGTTCCTTAAGGCAAGCGCAAGGCCATGTCTGAAAAGATTGGGAGTTTTAGGGCTGACCATGTGATGGGTCATGGTTACATTCTTACGGTGTCGGATGCCGAGGATAAGGTAGTCTGGCCAGAGAAGTCCAGCTACGGGGACGAGTGTTTTGGCTGCTAAGAGGCGGCTATTAAAGCTGGTTTAAGGTTTCCTCTACATCCAGCTGTTAAGAGGATTTTGGATGGGTACCAGTTGGGTATCTGGCAACTGGCCCCAAACTCATGGTTCAACATCTTGGGCTATGTTACCGGCTGTGAGATGTATGAGGTGGATCCAAGCTTCAAAGCATTTGCTCATATGAACTATCTCAGCCGAACCCCAAAAACAAGCGGGACCGGCTGGTACAGTTTGTCTAGCCACAAGGGCTACATGATGACCATGAGGAAGGAGAACAAATGGAAGGATTGGAGGAACAACTTCTACATAGTCTCCTGCCCTGATAAGGTCAAGAACAGAAAGTACAACAGGTGAAATAGGGATCCACCGTACTTGACTGGCAGCTCTGACCTGCTGCCTGGTTCCTCGAAGAGCCAAGGAAGAGATCTTAGACCGAGGGCTCTTCAAAGTAATTATACAAGCGAACCCCGAGACTAGGGTGAGGGAGTTCATCCCTCAAAATTACATTCCAAAGTATAACTGGTTATACGATGGGACATATCTGGCCGCCTACGGCCTTAGCGAGGAGATGCCGAGAGGTAGTAGACCGCCTGTTTAGAGTGTCTTGTTAGACTTGGCTGATTTTGTGTAACCATTTGATTCATCTTTTGCAGATAAAGCTATGGACAAGATCTCGGCCTCCAAGAAAGTAGCCGCCCAAATCCGCGCGGCCATTCTATGCAAGCGGTCCATTGAGGAGTCGCTTGCCAAACAGGTGCCTAGGGTGAGTTTCTCTTCATTTAACACAACCTCTTTATGTCTGTCGCCTCTTCGTGGCTAAATGACTTGTGTTGCAGGGCAACGTGGTCAGACCTTTCTCCTCATCCCAGCCGGACCCCAAGGTCAGGAAGCAGACGGCCGGGGATGTGTCGACTCCTGGAAAAGCTAGGAGACAGGCGGCTGAATGGTCAAGAAGGACTCCCCAAAGCGGGGCAAGGACTCCGGCTACCCCTGGGAGCAGCCGACCCCCTAGAGAAAAGGAGGTGGCGAGAGGTATAACTCTTCAAATTTTCCAACTTTCATCAAGCAACCACCTCCTCTGAAATCAGGCGGCTTGTTTTCTATTTTTATGCCGCGTATTAATCAAGGTCTACTTTGCAGATGCCCCTGAAGAGCCGGACCTGGTTCAGATGGCCAAGTCCATGTTGAAGGTCATCCCTGTTGAGGACAGGTAGTCTGTTAAGGGAGTCGGCACCCTAAACCTTGAAGCCATCCTGGCTCTCCTTGCCGAGGTATACTTAGTAAAAAGTTCTCTTTTTTCATTTAAGCATTTGCTTGGTCGCCTGTGACTGACGACTGCTTTTTGCCGACTACAGTCTATGCTGCGAGTGTATGGTCTCCGCAAACCTATCTCCTACAAAACAAAGAGGTAAAAGCTGCGAAGGCCATGGCCGCCTCTGATTCTGATAAAGTTATAATCCAGATAGCTCGAAACGAGATTCTGACCACTGACATATTGTATTACTAGGCGTCAGCCACTTTGCAGGTCAAAAAGGACTTAGAGGCGGCCAGGAAGAAGATCTTGGAGCTGGAGTAGTCTATTAAGGACCTCAAAGCTAAGATGGAGCCTCTAAAGGAGGCGGACAAGGAAGCCGAGGGACTCCGCAAGCAGGTAAATAAAGGCCGCCTACAGAGTCAAGAGGCTGACCTCACCCAAAAGCTTACGAGCAAGCTGGCGAAGAGAAGATGGCCCTTGTTCAGGACATGATGGACGACTGCAGCGCCATTATGAAGATGACCTGGGCGGCCCTCTTCCCTGAATCCGGCTATGAAAAATGGGAGAGCCAATTCGCCGTCTGTTCTGATCAATACATCAAGAAGATCATGGAGCAGGCAGACGGCGACGAGGATGCGGAG